ACGGTTCGGGGAGGAGCGCGGGCTCCGGTTCCCGAACAGCGGCAGGTAATCGAGCCTGAGGGAGAACGCGTCGCGTTACAGGACCAAAAGAACAGCTGCGACGGCGCCTATCAAAGTTGAACCCACCAATCAGAATAATATTCTTTTTCGATGCCTGACTATTAAGCAATTCTAAAATCTATTTTCAGCACGGTTTCATCATGGAATCTACATCTGATGGGTTACTATTACATTAGTAAAATGTACTTACATTGGAAATACGGCAGTTTTTAAAAGAAATTACTTATTTTTTTCTATTTATTTACTCAAATTCAATTACACAGATAATCAAAACAAAAACAAAAACAAGGAGTTAAATATATGTACAAGTATAAAAAAGAGATATCTGAGTAATTAGGCCAGTTTATACAGAATTCTAGATTCCTTATTTTAAATAAACTGCCTGTGATAAAACACAAAAAAAATTGAAACCTAACTTAGACAAATAGTAACAACAATACGTAATCAAAAATTATAAAAATTCATCCTTACGTAAGTTACATTTACTGATATAAAACTGGTTTATTACGAATCAACTTAACGGCCTGCTCCCAGTTGGCTTGTTAGCTCAATTGGTAGAGCGCTGTACTAGTATCGCAGAGGTAAGTGGTTCGAATCCCGTACAGGCCTGATTTTTTTCAGGTCTGATTTTCGCTATTGCATAAAATAGCGCTATCTACTGCGAAGGATCGTGCATCAAACGAATGTCAAGCATGTTGATAAATGGGTCGTATTCAAGCTCTCAATGGTACGACGAAGTATGAAAAAGTCAGATTCTGAAAGGCTTTGAATCGTGGAAGACGTGTTAGATTAACCATCCGTACAATAATTTGTATAACTCCGCAGCACAAGTTAATTGAACAATTGCAAGCAAGCAAGCTGGCAAAATCTTTTGACAAACAAAGCCTTCAAATAAAGGCAGCACTGAATTACACGTACAACTGGTTCTTGTTTTCTACCCAACTCACACGGCCAAAATGTAACAATCTTACCCCAACGTGCAACGAAAATTAGGTTAAGTCCCATCAAAGACACTATCGGCAGCCATGTTGCCTTCTTGACACTCTCAAGGAAGAGCCTGACATTTGACAAAATGCCGCTGGCACAGTGTACAGTTTCAAGCTCAGTTGACCTCTGAGGTTCGTACCTCCGAGGTTCGGACAAAATGCGCGAAGACCGAAAAAGTACTGAGGGGTCTCAGCAGAGTTAATTCCCTCTATTAACTCTGGTCTCAGGCAACGATTAGAAAATCATTGATGTACATTGATGTATAGCTTTAGTTCAACTCACTGTAAACAATGATTTCTTCACTTATATCAGCTTTGTAAGAACAATGGGGGCAGGGGACTCCATATTGCATAAGAGTTTGGTGTGTAGGACTGTTTCCACCGTTTGTTCATCGGCGGAAAACTTGCGTTTTTTAATTTATCTATTTATTTCTTAATTTTTTTTTCAGCTGGTGAGTGAGCTTTAAAAAAAAGGAAGATAAATAAACCTAACAAGGAGTTAGGCAGCGTGTTTGTGGCAATCAGCGAAATAACAAGAGAAACGATTGAAGAAGTAAAGCGAAGAGATAGGGGATCGGGGAGATTGTTAAATTGTTCCTTCCAGAAAAAAAAACCGTTTTTTCCTGTTCTCTTCTTCTTCTTCTTTTGTTGTTGCTATTGTCGTCGTTGTTGTTTCTCTTTGGTTTGTTTGTTTTCTTTAAAATCATATCATTTACCGTTTTGCTTCACCACGATATTCATCGTTGGAATACCTGGTTGCCAGTATAATCACCGTGAATCATCTGTAAGATAATACATTGGGGAACACTTTTGAGTTAGCCCTCTTAGCCCCACAGAGATTTCTTTCTTTAAATCATTATTAACATGCAAGGTGAAATTCAGCATAGAAAGAAAGCTTGGTTGTTGAATGATCGCCATTTGGGCCTGACAGTTGTCGGAAGTCCGCACTTGCTGTAGAAAAGTTTAAAATTCTTAGAACTGACGATAAGACCATTCATTTCATCTTTGACTGTCACCTTAGACTAGCTGCTGACTTTTTAATCTTCTCGATATCTTAGTTGGCGAAACATTGGCGTGGCACACTAAGAAGAGGGTGAGGAAAACTGAAAAGGGTACGGGAAACAGCTTACTGAAGACATGCAAGAACAAAACCAGTAATAAATGCTCGAATGAAAGTTTAATGTGATCACACTACATATAATTGCAAGCGACAAGGCCCTTGCTAAATACAGATGACAACGATTTGCCGTAATTCCTTCGATAATGCTCAGTAAAGTTTTACGATTATCGCCACATTAATGTGTTGTACCAAAAAAAAAAAAAAAAAAAAACTACAGAAGCAAAACAAAACGAAAAAAGAAAAGGCGCTAAACACACATTCGACACTCGTGGTTATTTCAGTCTACTCTAACTTTAAGCTTTTGCTAAATAATAATTGATTATTGCGCATAATTTGACGTTTCATCCGGGGTAATCTGACGGTCGGTAAGCCTGAAATACACAAAAATAAGACAAATTAAGAAACGGCTTAAGTTTTTGAGTACATCTGTGTTACGGGTAGGGAACTTTTACAATGATCTTTCAAAGAGAATAAGGATCCTTTGCTTAAGAGGTGCTTACATTCCAAACTGAAGTAGACTATGGTCTCCAAGTTAATCAATGACTAGAAGTAAACATTACTTGGGTAAAGATAACTTAAATTTTCAATTACTTCCTAAAGGACAGAAATGATGCCCATTCCTGTTAATATTGCCGCGCGGTTAGGCGAGGACTAGCTGAAGAGCGTACCACAATGAGTGGAAGGTACCCAGGACTCTAAACCTGTCCTTTTCTTTCTTCTTAATTTTCGATTATCCACTAAATTTGTTTAAACAGCGAATTGTCTTTTCCCACTTCTCTTCTATCATTCTGTAACTACTAAACCTGAAGAACATGTTTTCATAAACTGCATGGCAAGTGGACCAGCTGACCTTGGAATCATTAATTGCCACCCTCTTTAGCTCCATTACCTTTTCAATAAGCTTTGCATGGTACTGCCTTGCAGATGGTCTTTCCCTTTCCAACCATATCAGGGACACAAGAACATTCTTTGCACTGAGCGGTGTCCTGCTCCACTTGTCTGAGAATGCTCTTCAAGATCATTTCCATTTGCCAGGATTCTGGATTAGCTTTCGGTCCCTCGAAAGCAGGTTTCAGGTTGATACCGACACCTTGTGTTTCAGTAACGATCTGGAAGTATTCATTATTTTGAGGAAGTCGGTAGCGTTTGATGAGGGACCCCGTTTCGGTTTTGAAAAATCCTTTCTTGGTGTACGCATTATTGAAAGTGTCCACTGCGATGGCTATCTTTAACCTAAATTACAGATACAATCGAAAAAATATTAAGTAACTTAGAAAGGCATCAAATAGGGCAAATAAGTGTTAAAACACGCGAATTTTAGTCCTTCTGTTAAGGTACATCTGTGGAGCCTTTTTGTGTTTCGTTAATCACGTTAAGAGATTAATAATGTTCGCTCTCTAGTTTAACGTTATCCTTGGCAGAATGTGGGAACGCCAAAAGAGCGAAATGTCGAATTAATGAGCGATGAACAAGTGAAACTTGTTTCATCGAGTGTTTGATCAGCACGTCAACCTTTCAATATCAAAATTCGACGGAGTGATCACGTTAAATTTTCCTTCGGCACTTGATCTATTTTGCTTTAGGCGATTACCACACCCCAACGGCAAAAGGGAGTTTGTCTATCGACAACCCCGATCTGATTGGCAAAACTTATCCGGGTTTTGTGCAGAGGAGGCGAGTCATTGACCGAATCGCTCTTGTAAACATTCTGGGCGACTTCATTTGCCACAAAGCCAAAATTCTATTACATATAGACTATATCTTACTCACGGGAACTTCCCAATGAAGACAAGCCTGGCACCAATGCCCTTCAGAGCCTTGACGACTGTTCCATTGGAAACGTCGCTATGATTGACTCGGAGGCTGTTTGTGACGAGAACAATGAGCTTGGAGGCAGCAGGTCGGAATGGATACTCGACTGCCTTCATCAAGCCAAGATAGCCATCGCTTTCTGGGAACTCCTCGTTGCTCCTGAGAATTTAACAGTACAAAACCCATGGGACAAGAGCGCTATTGAATCTATTATCTTTCAGTCTTTTAAGCAATTTTTTATCTGCCCGCTTAAAAAAAGATCGTTTTATAGAAAGCAGGATCTTCAGACCCTGTGTCACGGTAGGCATTCAATTGTGCATTTTTCATGGGATAGGCAGCTATTCCCGAATTAGGGTTCCAGTGCAAAGTGTTTGTTTTCCCACCAAACTACCTCAGGTCTCTTACAAGCCAGGGAAAGCCTGTCTCGCCAGGTTCTAAACTCAGCTCATTTTCCCTATATCAAGTGATGGTTAACAAGGATTTAAATCTAACCTTGGGACAAATCCCATGTTCCTGATGACATCAGCTGTGAAATACTCGGCGCTATTAAGTAGCTGACCCTTAATAGTATGCTCGTGACCGGGCCTGTGTACTGGCGCTTTACCGCTGAATCCAACAAGACCAAACTGCGGTGACATCCCCTCTGTCTTCAAATATTTGTCGATCTGCTGCGTAAATGAAGGCAGCAGAGTAGCCACAGGCTCCATATCTTCCCCCTCGCTGCACACGAAAACAACGTCCACATTACGTGAGGGTTTCTCTTTCCATGTCGAGTTCTTCTCATGCATGTCGCCTTCGACTTCACAAGATGCTGTGGATAAAAGAAACGAGACGACCAATCAATTCTCTCAACAATAGTAGGGTGGGACTGCTGTTACCAAGGTAATGATCTGAATGTCGGTCACAAGTAATGAATTGAAACAAAATTATTGCCGTGGTCGCCTGCTTTAGCCTTCAAACTTCCTCAGCACAGATACATAACAATTTGATTTAACCGTTCATTCGCTATAACTTCGCTGGATTATTTTTTATCGTTTGTGGTAAAAGTGGTGTCACTAGATAGTGAAAATCAGGGCACTCAAACGATATTAAAAAGACTGAAAACAGACCGAAAACTTTAGGAGCGGATATGAAAAAGGACTAAAGACATTCAAGAAACTCATGGAAATGTTGAAATACGCCATTATGATCACTTTACTTCAATTCTGTATTGTAAGCTCAATTCGTTAAAATGGTTTTGCAATCTTCTTTATGCTAATTAAGAAACTATGGGTATGATCCTATAATTTTTTAAGATATTTCCTTCCTTATTCATTTAACTTGTATTTACTGAAAATTGACAAGAGGGACCTTGTTTATGACTGTAGAAAAATCGCATATAATGCGCAAGGTTCGATAGACGTAGCCTAACTCTGGCGGATCTGACATCCAATTGTTTGTTCCGTTACTAAGCTTATAAATCAGAACTGAATAACATCAGTCGAAAATTAAGTCATAGAAACGAAATATTGCACCGAATACTCTATCGTACTGACGAGAATAAGAAGAAAGGGGAGGAGGTTTGTTTTGAGCGGATTAAGAGATGATCTTCTCTTTCCTTTCGTAGAGAACCTATTCAATTTTTTGACAAAAGTGACGAATATCGTACTTACTGCATTCGTCAGGCTGAGAAATCTCAATTCCATGTCGTTTACACTGTCGTATGTATGCTGCTGTCACATTGCAATGCAGGCTCTTCACTGGAGCAGATATGTCGCAATCCTTGTATTCTGCTTTACATGCAGCTGCAAAGTCAACTGGATCAACCTGAAAGTTGTGAAATAGCGAAGTTAAGAAAGGTTGGCAATTAAATGTACAGATGACAAGAATAAAAGTTGAGAATTGAAATACCAGTAGTGATTCCAGTTCGGCGTTGCAACTTTCTTTCCCTTATTTTGAGAAACAGCAGTCCTTTCGTACGTTTCCCTTCGAACGTATGCGTAGGAAATTGGCGCCACCGGCCAGAGGTGATCCTCTGGCACATACCCAAAGTTTGAACTTTCATTTGTGTTACCTACATCAAGTCACTGGAGAAAACTCCGAAAAGGACAGCAGGATGTGTAGATAAAAAAACGCCTTTGGGATACATTTGAAAGAGTTTTTAAGTTTCAAACAAGGTCATTTTCTGGAGAAAATGATGCTGTACCTCTGAAAAGCATTTGCTAAGAGGCGAGGACTTATTGAGGAAGAGCTCACTGCAACGTATCATCCCTGACTTGTCCCCATCGCAAGGTATTTGTTTCACTTCGACGTCGGGTTTGCAGCCGTCGCCTCCCACAAGCCACGAGTCGGCGAAGTCGGATACCTGAGTTCGATTCTTGCCATTTGGAGACATCCAGTCATCACTCGGTTCACCGTTATTAGTACCAAGGATACCTGAGTTCAAAGGAGAATTGCCCATTCATCTCCAACGAAAGTTCCCCTTTTTCTTCTAGCTTAGAAAATCTATTCTTCAGATATTCAAGAGCCGCATTTCACTTAGAAAAGGGGGAAAACAATCCAGTAAAAACATGAACGCGTCGATCATGCAAGAGAATGTAACTATAGATCTGTTGTTTTACAAAGTAAATCCTCAATGACATTTATTTGAAGGTTGGAGAATGTAGTTCGTCAAAATCTTTAGAAATTTATTCATTTCGATCTGGTCCTGATGGCGCCAAATCGAACCACGTAAGTCAATTTCGCGATATGCTTTAAACAACTTCTAATACCAAAAATGAATCCTAATGTTAATTATATAAAAGCCTCATCACATACCAGCCGTTCTGTTATGATAGAATCCAGACACTACGTAACTGCACACGAAGTGCTCCATGTCACATTCGACAGAGAGGCCAAAGTCATTGGTCAAGTTGATGAATGGACCATCTCGTACAATGGTTGTGTTCTCGAATTTCACAGGAAGCTCCTCAAATAAATTGTGCGTCAAACTGTTTGTTTTGTCGTTCACGGCGATTCCTTGGGACACGACCTGACCATTGCGGTGGATTTTCACTAAAGCATCCTGGGTAATGATGAGGATAACCTCAGGCGTAGAAAGTATGGTAAAGTTTCCTTCCTTGAAGTCGCGGCTCAACAAATACTTACAATTGGATCCTTTGATTCCAGGGAAACGGAAGTAACGCTTGTCAAAGGTGTAGATGTTCTTTCCAAAGATCATGCCAGTTTGGTCTAGTTAGAAAATACGTGAAAATGTTCAAGTCAATAAACAGCAGGTTTGATCAAAAGGTGATCAAGAGCAGCTCATTTTGTCATTTCCGCTTAGATTAAAATATTTAAAACATCACTGCAAATTGGAGACCAAAAAATCAGTCATAAAGAATGTTGAAGCAATTGACTCAATTATTGGTGAAAGAAAGCTGCGTCCATTAAATGTTACTTTGTAAAAAAATAGCCTTCATTTTGGGTTACAACGTTTAAAAAGTAAGGAACTTTTTTATGACCCCTAAATAAGAGACAGGGGGATTCAACGCCACGCTATAGAATTCGGACTTACTTTCCGGTTGAAGCATCTCAACGATATCCTCTGGCTTTAGCTCATTAAGGGTCTTCAATGTCCTCCACGTCGTAAGTACGGGTGAGAGGGTCCTGTTCACGTACTCAAACAAAGTCTGGTTCAGCATGCACGTGGAGTAGTTGAAGGCGTGATCCGTTATATTTATGGTGAAGTTCATCAGGCTGAAGTAGAAGTATTTGGGGAGATACGCGTTGTGACGAATCGTCTCATTGACCAGCGAACCGTTAACAAAGCTGGCCGTAGAGTTGATCAAACGGACGGTGAGGTTGTAAATGGTTTGCGTCCAGTTTGTGGTGAAATTAATGGATGACATTGTTAAGTTGTAGGTACCGTTCTGGAAAAATTCTGTCGCGTTTCGTGTGGCATTTAAAGAGCAGGCGATCATGTTAATGTAACCCTCAGCCCAAAGATGGAGGAACTGGGTGTAGTTTATACGTAGGTACATCGGGTAAGTGAAGGAACTGTTCATCTGCTTCTGATTCAAAGTGGTGTTGGATGGGAAATTTCGGAGGAACCACGCCGTGACGTAAATATCCCTTTCTACTGGCTCAGCTGTGTATCGAATCACTCGTGGGAAGTAGTATCGGGTGTAGTTTTGCCAACTGTGGTTTCGCATAACGGCTATCACTTCCAGCATAGTTGAGTTCCACCTCTTCAGAACCGGACGGGTCCAAGGCATACTGTCAAAAGAAAATGAAAATCAACATTGATCTCATAGCCAACTCAACAGTATACTCTAAGGGCAGATTGGGGTCATAGAAAAGATTTCATGAGAATCGTATTCTGTGCGCGTGAAGCATGAAACATACACTTAAGAATAGACCAGTGGCTCATCATTCGCTCTGACGAAGGACTAACGCTCGAAACGTCAGCTTTTTAACTCTTTACGGTGGCCAATTTATAATTTCAACATAGTTGATATACCAAATAACAGTATTTATTTGCTCTAATTAGTAGCCATTCATTCATACCTGTGGGTCCAGTTGCGATAGTGAGCCGTGAAATTCAACATTTTCCATGATTTGTGCGGGGGTTCACTGAAATTGGTTTCAGTGAGGATCTGGACTGTCATATTCCAAAGTTGAGATGTCATATTGTGAGTGCGATTAATGTAGAACTCGATTATTTCTTGTGTGGTCTTGTAGCTCGTCACGTTCAGAACATTAACAGTATCATTAACTAAAATAACAGCTAGGTCTGTGACGTTCACCAGCCACTCGTGGGTCCTGTTCATACGGCAAGCCGGGGATCGGACCGTTGTGTTATACAACTCAAGAGTTTTATTCAAAAGGCCTTCGATGGCTTGGTACAAGGTTGCATTGGAAGTGATCGTATGGAAGGACAAGGTGATGTTCATTGGGTAGTGAAGGGATGGGAGGAACCATTCGAAAGATGAATCGCAGTTGGTCCGATTGTGGAAGAACTCGTAGGTAAAGTTGAAAACACTGATGTCAACCACATCGGTAAAGTTCTGCCAGACCGGGTACGCGACTCCGCCAAGGAAAGAAGAATTGTTGATATACCCTGTGATGTTGACGAGTATTTGTCTGGATATGTTGTATAATACAGGGTGTGTGACATTAAGGATATACTCAGTGACATTGTGAGTGAAATTTCTAAACACCAAGCTCACGTTGACCATAGCTTGAGTGAAGTTGACAGTTCCGTTGAGTATTTCTATCGTAAGATTTTGGACGCCAGGTAGGTAAGTTTTTAGATAAAAGTTTATTGTCTTATTATCAACTGTCCAATTTCCGATCTTACTAACTGTTCTATTTAAAAACATCGTAAAGTTCTTTGTAGCGTTCCTTCCCCATTCAGTCAAATCGAAAATGAATGTTTCACATGTTTGATTGTACCAAGTCGTGCATGTTTGGTTGTACCAAGTCGTGTTCCTGATGATATTAGAGATGTTTCCCAGAAAAGCAGTGGTCTTGACATGATCGGTGAAGTTCTGGAGAATCACGATCAGCTCTTCCGTAATATTTTCCAGCGTAACATTACTTGCTTTCATCTTCAGAATAGTATTCGCCAGGTTGTTGTAGAAGAGTGAATAGTTAAATTTGTCGCCGAGGAAATACCTTTGGTAATCGACAGTGACGTTAGGGATGCTGCGGGAGGTGGTATTAAGAAGGTGTATAGTGAGATTAAAGAGATTCTGGGTGATATTTTCTTTGGTATAATTCCATACCAGTATCTCGTGAGTGATGTTTTTCAAAACGTACTTAAAGTGTGTTCGGAACTTGGTCATGTTTACTCCAGCCAATGTTGCGTTTACAGTGATGTTCGCCAGCTTGGTTGGAATGTGGAAAGTGAGATTATTCAATGCACTCCATTCATATCTAACAGATGTCATGTTCAATACGTCGTATATGGTGTTGTCACCTCTAACCTCCCTGCTCCACTCTACGTACGTTTCACTGCCGTTAATTCTGTAAATGGTGTTGTTGAAGTGCGTGTCGTTGAGTGAGAACATCTTGAGGAACCAAGTTACGTTCTGTAAGGTGACATTGAAGTAGGAGACTCTCTCGGTGGCGTTGATGGACCAACCCATGGAGCCATTAAATGCCGTTTTGTTGTAGTGATGCCATGTGCTTAGATTAAAAAAGGCACTATGGGATCTATTGCATGTCTTGGTCACAAATTCAATGGTACGGTTCCATAAGGTTAAGTTAGAAACCACGCTCATGTTGCTTACAAATCCATTCCACAGGAGGGTGTGGTTGTACACCGTAGCGTTTGCATTTGCACTAATACTGGTATTGAAGGTTCCAGAGCAGTTTAGACTGAAAGAAACGTTTGGAAGGAAATGGACGGTGACATTAACCTGACTGATTTCTTTATTCCAAACAAATGTCTGGTTGAGGATTTTTTTCGGCTGGTAATGAAAAATGGATGTCAGGTTGAACATCTTGGAGGAATTGGTTAAGACGCCCATCCAGCTGACTGTCCTGTTGGGAGTGTAACCAGTGATTTTTAGGATGTGATGAAGCATCTCAGTCGTAGTTTTATTAACCATGTTAACTTGTGCTCCATAGGTGCGGTTAGTGAAGGTGAGGTTGAGAATGAGGTCCTTTTTAGCGGTAGTGTTGAAGAAAGTGAAAATGTATGACGCATTCATCCAGGAAGATGTACCGTTCCTGATCCTGTGCGTGATATTAATGCTGCGAATTTGATCAACGTCCGGTAACATCTCAGTCGAGAAGTAAGTATGATTCAACTCTGCTCTCCAGGTTCCCATAGACATGTTAAAATGGAGATTTCTGGTCGTAGTGGTGTTTGAGTAAGTTGCTGTCATGTTGAAAACTGTCCTATTCTGGAACGTGCAGTTAACCAGGATTCCTCTCGCTTTTGAGTTCGAAAACCAGGTCGTGTTCATGGTGGCAGTTGAGTGGAGGCTGGTAATATTCCATATCAAGGATTTCCTTTCGGTAGCATTCAAATAGCTTAAGCACGTTGATAAAATAGTGAAGTTATTGTGAGTTCCGTTGAAGTAGGTGCTGTTGAAGCAGAATCCCTTTTCCAAGGTAGAGTTCTTTAAAGAGCCTGACAGCACAACAGAATGGTTTGAATAGGTGATGTTCAGGCTGACATTTCTAACCTTATGGTTGTACATCCAGGTGGTGTTCAATGCAATTGACCTATTCTGGTGAGTGATATTCAAATGACAAATCTTGATACCGTCGGTTGCGTTAGTGAAAGTCATGTTCAGCGAGGACGTCCTGTTGAAGGTTGTGGTGTTGCAGAAGAAGACGGTGACGTTCTTCTCCGTAGAGTTACGATACGCCTTAAAGCAGGACAACACTTGGGTCCCGTTGCTGGATACGTTTACATGGGTCTTAATGAAGCTTGTAGCATTGACGTAAGTAACGTTTATTGTGATGTTGTTGTTTAGAATTGGTGTGCTCCACGTTGGGCAGCTGACATTCCAGGTCATGTTCGAGCTACGAGCAGTCATATTGTGCTGCCCTCGCAAGTGCAAAGTCAGGTTGAGCGGGCGGTGAGTAATGTTGAGAGTCAAGTTACCTGTTGAGTTTCCGTTGAAGTTGATGGAGGTGTTGAGGTACAGAACGGTGATAGGAATACCCTGTGTGGTGCTTTTAACAGTGGTGTTTGTTTCCAAGTGCCACTTGTGCGTGTCATTCATCACAAAGAAACGGTGATGAAACGAATTGTTGAAAAGAGTGGAATTTATTGCCAACCCATACTTGATTTTGTGTGTCTTGTGGCAGGTGCGATGGAAGTAAAAAGCTGTCAGATTTCTTGTCACATTGAGAGTAATATTAACGGCTTTGGAAATGGGAACGAAGACAAAATCGATCGTGGTGGCGTTCTCTTGGCCGGCACCAACACTCACATTCCAACGATACATCTTTTCAGTTTTGTTAGAGGTGATATTGCAGAAGAACTTCCTTTCGTAGCTTGCTCCAGGAGTGCAAATGGCAATGGCTGTCTTGTTCGTGTGTTTGTCTGGCTTCGTAAAGTTGACCTCCATTTCAAAGTTCCTCAGTAATGGATCAGTTCTGTTTAAGTAGATGGAGAAGTTAAAAGGGCCAGTCAGAGGGAAGAACGGAGCAGTCTTGTTGTACCAAGCCACCGGTATGGAGATGTTGGAACACATGTTAAGGCCGAATATCTTGGTACTGTTGAAAATGTCGGCGGTGCAGACACCAGTCTGAATGAACAAAGAAAATTACAACATTTCACTAGGAAAAATTGATAACTTTACAATTTTCTCATGATAGAAACTCAAGGTATGTTAAGAACAGAGCATTACATCTCTAAAATTCTTATTTATTGGGAATAAGACGAAAAAATTAAAAGCAAATGAAACTGTTCTCATTCCCCGCTGCATGATTAATAATAGGCGTAAAGTCATACCGTGTTGCGATGGTCCACTCCACGGATCGGGATCTTTTCGTTTTTGAAATGATGGAAAAGAGAAGTCCTAAAGTAAAGCGATAGATGAAAGAAAAATACGGAATAAAAAATTTCATTGGGGTCAAATAATGTCCTGGAGAGCATTTGAGGTGCATTGTGCCACCAAACAAATATTCAGTAACATTATGAGAAGAACGAATCGAGGTTACTGCAATGTAACGCGACGAGTTTGTTCTTTAATGTTGCAGATGCGTCACAGACCCTACAAACGCTGCTTGACACAGACAGTAAGGCCGAAAGGACACGATGACAAAAGAAAAAATACGGCTAATGTTCTTACGTGATGTTCAAAATCTCTTGTGGCTTCTCGGTGACATTGATATGTGACTTTAATCCCTGTTCCTTGCTGTAGGTTAGGTTTCCTTGTAATTCGGTGGAAGTGGAGATGGAACCATTCAGCAGAACGCCTGTTGATAGGTGGAAGGCATCTAATGTGACCTTTCCAGAAAGCACGATGGCAGCGCTGTCGAATGATAGAGGAACGAAATGAAAAATTGTAAACAACAGACAAATCTGCGATCGATTAAATTTTAGTCAGTGAAGTTAATACGAAACATATTAAATGTTGGTAAAAATAATTCGTATAACTCCAGTATCATTTGTCCGGTTTCAATACATTTGGACTGTAGGATTGTCGCATTTCAAAGACCTCACTTAATAATATTACATGTAAATTTTTGCTTAATTCTAAGATGATATGTTCTAAATGTCGGTGAATAAATTTTTGATTACCTTGGCTTTATAGTTCCTTGGACAACTGCCTTCTTGTTACCCCAGAAAAGGCTCAATAGGTCAGCCCTTCCTTGTACGTTTACACTGGTGACAGATGTACCATTGATACTCAGGTTCAGAGGTATTCCAAGGCATGTGGGAATGACATAAGTTTCTTCTAAGAACAGAAAACTTTTGGTAAAAGTCTTGTCAACTCCTTTTGAGAGAGCTCGCAATAATTCGATCAGATCAGCGATGGGAATATCATCATCCTCCAGCCATTCGAGATCCTTCAATCTGAACAAGTCAAGGTCATTGCCAAACAACTTCAGAGACAGAAGACCACTGGGCGTCATCTTGCGAAGGTTAACCTGGGTTAAAAATAGTATATATAAATTTAGCCTTTCAACGGTTATTGTGCTCTAAGAGTTTATTCAAACGTTATTTTCTCTTAACGGAATGCAACATCTACCACATGGCTTTTAACGTTTCGTACAAAATGATTTGATGGAGGGAAGCAGGGATGAATTAAATAAGACGCATGTAGGACTGAGAAAATAAAAGTAACTCGTTAAGAAATCAAGGCAAAGAGAGGGGCATTGCTTTCTATTGGATTCCTTTAAGGTTTTTGCGATGGGAAGAAATAGTTGGGAAGTGTTTACTGTTGCTTGGCCTTCTTGATTTGGAATACCTTTCAATTCACTGTAGCCTACTTAGGCGGTGCTTACCATTCTATCAAGATTTTCCAAGTCAGCTGTGTTGTCTATACTCCTCTTCTGAATTTTTCTGACCTCGTTTACGCTCTTCTCTATTTTTATGAGCCCCGAGATATGGCTATCAGGAAAGTACCCTTTGTCCCCAAAAAGTTTCTCCCAAATGATCTCCAGGCCCTCTAGCCTCGTGCTTGTCTCGACCACTGGGATGGCTCCACCCCATAAGTCAAGGGTCACATTGAGTTCTGCGCTTCTCGGGACAAGGCTCTCTGGGTGGTAGATCACATGACTTTCCGAGCTGAAGCCCAAATTATTTTCCTCTAGAAGAAAAAAGAAACAAATCAAATTTTTAGATAGAGTGGACAGAAAATCAGGAGTAATTACTCGGAAAGTCTGAGAATTCGTGTACGTATTACGGACACCCACCATTTAAATAACTTTTCTGTAAGAAATGAGACTTGTTTGTGGTGTTGAAGTCCCGCAGAGGAGTTTCTCGCTCTTTCAGAGCCTTCTTAATTAGTTCGCCCAACCTGTTAGAGTAATGTTACAGAGAGTCATATTCAATTTCAGAATTAAAGCGCAGGTATACCTCTCTGCGACGCGAGTTGCACTGTTTACTATCCCCATCTCTAATTCTTTTACATACACACAAAATAAGCATTTATACATCCTTTCCAAACTTTTACACCTATGAGACAAGAACAACGCTAGCTTAGTGTGAAAGGGCATCATCTAGGTCCTTAGGTACAAAAACTTACTTCTTGCCATAAGTTGGCTCAACAGAATCATTCATTTGTTTGAGATGGCTGCTGACGAAGGCGCCAACCTGGGTATTGACCTCACCATCCAGAATCTCCGCCACATATCTGATCGTTTTTTCATCGGGATACTTCATAAAGGCAAGGTAAGCCTGCACGCGCACCTCGGGGTCGTTGCCATAGTCACCAAACACCTCACTTCCCAGAGCGTTCCACGTGTCTGAGCAGAAAGGCATGCTTCGAATGGTCTCAATGGCAACTACAGAGATGTTGAGGTAGTTGGCTCCTTGTGAGCATTTCACAAGCTCTGTTGCTTTGGAGCGCATACGTCCTGCGTTGCCAATCGCTTTGAGCGAAATAATGACGTCATCTACTTCATATGGGGTGGCCTCACAGTGCTTTGGAAGTTGCTTCTCTAAGAAGTCCACCGCATCCATAACAGCAGAATCCTGAGTATAAACAAAGAAAGCAGACACGTAAATTGATGAAACACAGAACAATTGAACACAAACAAAAATTAATGAGAATGACTGCATTTTTTGACAGCCACTCAGTTCATTATGTAAAGCGCTTTGAGATGCTCATTAGCAAAACTTACAGATTCTCTTAGGCAATCTTCTGGTACACGTTGACAGTACTTCCGGATCATGGTTCCAAGAGATAGTAGTGTGGTTTTGGGTAAATCACTCTTCTGTTGCAGTAACTCCTGCAATTGTGACAAAATTGCAAAATTAAATAGGCAAAATAAACTTTTCAAAGGAGAGGGTTCATAAGATAAAAACTATCTGAACACTAAATTCATTAAGGTGAAAACAATGAAAAAGCTCCTCTGGACTGTAAAAAAATCTTCATGATGCAAATATTCTAAATTCAAGAACACAAAATTGCTTACGATCACTTGGTCAAAGAGATAGGAGGCTGCATTTCGCGCTGCACTGATTCCGTTCAAAAGGTATGCCATATGCTCAGTTTTAACTTCATCGTAGTCCCTGATGGCCTCAATTATATATGTCAGGCACGGGGTGGTCCCGCACTGAGTAAAAGCATCGAGCAAATACGCCCTGGATAAGCAAAGAAGAAAGATTTAATGGTTATCAACTGATGGTCCAAAGTGATCTGGAATTAATTTCGTTTCGTCCTCCTTTGCTTTCAGATTAGTCTAGAAATCTTGAAAACCAAAACAGTTTGCGACCTGTTCATTAACCACCTCCCGGTTAGCTCAATTGGTTAGAGCGCCGGATTGTGTTGTGCGGAAGGTCCGGCCGGACTGATACTCATGGTCTTAAAATAAGTGAGGAGAATATGCCACCTTTCTATCAAGAAATGGATAGATATTCTAGTCTTCTCGGATAAGGACGAATAAACCGTAGGCCCTGCAGGGTCAGGGGTAGGAGACGTTATTTCCCATGCACGAGATTACTGTGTTGTGGAGGTCCTCCCCTGGGGTGGGATGGGTGGGAATTGGCCCTAAAAAGCCCCCATCGAGAGTGGTCAACTAACGTATGTATGTATGTATGTATTAACGTTCTTCCACGCTTCAAGAGGTTTTCTTGTTTTTGCTTTGAAGTGCTTCTGGCCCATGCGGTGTTTTAATTCTTTTTTTGATTGACAGTTGCGATCGCGTTGATTCACAAATGCATTATACACCTTCACTGAGTAGTCGTCTTCGTTTTTGCTCTTATGGATGTCACGCATCTCTCCCTACCAAAGCTAAGTGGGGGGGGGGGAGGAGGAAGGGGGAAGGGAAGGGGGCATGGGTGCATCTCTTGATATCCCAAAGGACGGCAACGAAGATTAAACTTTTACTTATCCAGGAGATAGTCATGCCAATCAGTCATTTGTGTAAAATAACTGACATCTGTTTGGATAGGGAGGGAGGGAGGGAGGGGCATATAAAACTTCAAATAGCCAAGCTGTAACGGTGTCAGGGGCATGTGATGGTATTAAAGAATATTGAGTGGTTTAGCAGCAGATTGTAAGAACCCAATCCACAAACAGGCCTTATTGTTTACTTTAAATCAGTTCTCCAAATGTCCTCTTCTTCACAGTTTTCAACATTCTCCCACTTATTTTTAAGTCCAATCCATGATTTATTCGAAGAATCATCAATGTAAGTAAAATTGAATATGCAGGACGTTTTTAATCCGATGAAGGTGTTTCCATGGGTGTTTTAGTCAGATCGCTCTTCTCAAAGTAAATTTTTAGAATTGCGTCCCCTAAACCCGCCCAGCATGCTTTGCGCCAACCGACTCGACCCAATTCCCTGCGCAAGGTAAGAATGGCGAGTTCTTTGCGTTAGTCAGGTAGACTTTTCCTTGAATTACCTTAGTTAAACATTTGACCGATAAGAGTGACTATCCTCTAATTTCTCCTTTTAACATTACCCATGTATTACACATTAGGGTCAGGAGAATAAAGGAAATGATCACCAAACGAGAAGCTCTTGATTTTTAAACACATTCTCCTTGTGAATTGCATGTACAATGTTTAGAGAACAGTATGAAGAATATATAAACTTATGTTAAAACAACAACTCACTGGGATTTCTTGCACTGTTTCTCCGTGAATTCGCCTTCCTGCTGTTCATCGCAGTTGTAAAATCGAGTCCAGACTTTCCTCAGCGCTTCGACGTCGAGTTTTCGGATCGTGAAGACCAGACGGGTGAAATTATTCACCGTGCACGGTGTGGTTTCGTTGATAGGAAGGACCTTGATCAAGCTTTCTAGAATAGCCTCTGCGCTCTTGGAGGATGTTTCAAAAACTGGCTGTTCCTCGGCTCTCGCCAAAGATTGCTCGTAAAACATGTTTGATTTTCTCATTTCTGTTTTATAAGAGAAAATGAGTTCAATTTCAAATGCGCAGCCCTTCCTTCTATCGCAAAAATGATATTCAATAATAATGAAAACAATAAAAATGAGAACTTCTTAGCAATTTTTGCAAGTCTCGCTGCTCTTATAGAGTCTCAAAGGAAAACTAAAATTCCGTATTCAGAAAACTTTTATTCAGTTTTCTAACATTGATAAAATACTAATAACAGTCACAGACACGATAGTGAAACAATGCAACGAATGTATCATGAAATTTTGCCAAATGGTGAAATCACGAATGCAAAAAAGATGCCAAGAGGTTCCAAATGACGTAGATGTGAAGGAAACGAGTTCCTTAACTAAGGGGAGGCAAAAGAAAAATAGCATTTCTAGTAGGTCAGTAGGTTATAAGTATTACCTAATGGTCCAAATGTCGAATGATTCTAACCCACTAAAGAGAACCTGATAAGCCAATTTAAATCCAGAAACTCTGATTAACAAAACACGTTCTAAGTTGTAAATAGTGCAGAAATAATCTTAGCATTCAAAATTTGAATGTTTAGAATGTTAAAAAGAGAACGTTACCTGGAAATTTCATATCGTCCGCGAAGAGGAATAAATTCATTGTTACCGACTCAAGGGTCAAATTCACTCTGTAAAAAAATTTGAAAAAAATAGTCAGACTTTCCCGCCTTAACCTCAGAAGCAATTGTAATTTATCTACCAGGTGACTTCAAGAGAATGTTCGAGTTAGTTTTTTCAAGAAATAAATCACTCGCTATATTTCAAAACAACACTTACGTGACATTGGTTGTCACACCAGCCGCATTGTAGCTGAATGGTCGCAAGAGGTGTGTTTCGTTACATTCCACGGTTTTGACGTACTTTTCACGCACAATGTAACGGCAGAAGCTTGTTGAGTTGAGGGGACCTTGTATCAGCTGCAAAAACAGCACAAGCTCGTGACAAGACGAAAAAATTAATGGATTTCATTACTACAATCAAAACCTACCCTTTCTCTTCTACCTGTTCACATGGCAGTTTTGACATTGCTCTTCGTAACAGCATACGGGACGCGTGTCACACGTAAATCTAGCATTGGCCTGGCTTACATCATAGCATTTTCTTCAGCTCATGTTAACCGTAGGTTTGGGGTTCGATTCCTCGTAGATAATCGTTTTTGTTGTTGCTGTTGTCTTACCCACATGAAAAGTTACCTCGCACTCAGCGTGTGACTCGTAGCTCAGTTGGTGAAGCGCCTAAATAGTCAACTAAGAAGCACGTGTTCGAATTCCGTCGAAGCCTGAATTTTCTCAAGCTTCTATTCTGCAATTGTCAAAATTGCGGCTTACTTGCGAGGATAATCGCTTTACTTGATTTTCAATCCGCTGTCATTGAAAATTGTGACCAAAAAACTTTCTTCATCCCTCAAACATCTATCATCTCTTCGATTCTGTCTCCTTTAATCTTGTTTAGATTAGTGATTTGTGGAATCAATGGATATATATGCATGGTAAGGGGCCGACCATTTAACTTTTGAGGGGGGTGGGTGGGTGATTTCGAAAAAAAAATTTCCTGCAAGCGCTTGTTGGAAGAAAAAAAATTGCATGCAGCCCAAATGTAACAGAAAAAATGTACCAAAAAATGGGAAGAAATATCCTGCATCCTGCACAGAAGATCGCAAGAAAAAAAATCTCTTGATGTCCAGAAATCACCCCCCCCCCTCAAAAGTTAAATGGTCGGCCCCTAATGAAATTTTGTTCATAATGAGTGGAGCAAGTGTCTCACACCACCATTCTTATTTTAGTTCCGTTTTTAAGTCATCAAAACCGAAACTGTTTTTCGATAGACACGGCTCATACTTGGTTTTTACTTACAGAATTCACATCGTATGTGACTGGATTCAGCTTGGTGATATTGTGTGATCGACCGGTACAATTGGAGAGATCCCTTTTCTTGGTGATTTCGCTTTCCAGTATTTGTTTATTCACAATCTTGTATTCGGATGTACAGTTTCCTGTGACATCAACCTGGAATGTAGGAAGATCCGAAAATTGATCAAAAATTTTTAACCTTGTTTATTTGTTGGTTTGTCGGCCGTTCGGCGGTTGTTTTGTTTGTTGTTCTGTTTTGTTTTAATTTGTCTCTGTTTGGCGGTTAACTTGACCAACAAGATAGAAATAACTTAGCGGCTTATTTTGTTTGTTTGTTTTATATTTGTTGTTGGTGTTGTGTTATTATCACCCACCAGCTGGGATGGCTTTGTTACCCTCTAACTGATGATAAACGATTCAGCCTTTTCAAATTATGGTATCCAAGGGACGACGTTATTGTGGCTGAAAATCAGAACCGCCGAATTTTGTACCAAGCCCCTCGTGCAAACCTTAAAAAATCGATTTGCTTTTAAATTAGTTAACGTTTATTTGAAATTATGGCCTGGTTACAGGAAATCTTAACTTTGTCTTGCCTTATGGTTTTTGCGTTTTAGGTAGGTTTTCGACTAGAGGCTCAACTTTAGTCCTCGAATAAAAGATGGCCTTTCATAGCTAGCGGAAGTAAAGAAATGAACAGTCTTCTCGTTGATCCCCCAAAAGTTTTTCTCGCAGGTTTTTAAATGAAAGTGAAGACAACACATTTTTAAAATCTTTCTGTCTCGGCTCAGGAGAAATGACGCAGTAATTTTTTGTTTTAACATTAGGACCCTGTGTTGACTGCCAAACAGACAATTTTACAGCATGAAAAGTACCTCATGAATCATTTCTTGTGGTTTTTCACTAAACTGCAGCTGCAGTGCACTCAAAATACCACGCTTGATATTGGTGATGTACACAGGTTCTGTCTTAACCGGCAGGACCATGACAAAACGGCCTCTGCGTTCTGTAAAAACCAGGTGGTTAGCTTCGAGCGCCTTCTTGAAACTTTCCTGCTTGGGAGATGGTGTGAATTCTTTTTCCCCATTAGGCGAGGCTTCGAAGATTCTTACATTTTTCACCTGCAGATTACAGTAAAATTTTATCAATATGTGTAGACTTCCTCGATTAAAATCTCGATTATGTGCGTCGAAGCTGTTCAACAGAATATAAGATGATAAGAAAGCCAAGTAACAACAATTTCTCGAAAACAGTTCCCGGTTTTTTTTTTTTTTCGTTCCTTCCTCTAAATGAACAAGACCTGAAAACAGTGGATTAAAAGAACCTCGTGGAATGTGCACTGCTAAATTCCCATAATTATTATTATAAATATTATTATAAATATTATTATAAATATTATTATCATCAAGGATAAGACCATGTACTAAAACTTCAATAACGCAAAACAAATTTAACAATAAGATTCACTTCATTTTATGACAAAACTAAAATATGCTATCCCTCTTACAGCTACCGCCCCCAAACATTTTTCCATCTTTCATACTCCAATCACTCAGAAAAGACCTCCTATGCAGTTTACCACCAAACTGAATCAAAAAGCACTTTCATTTCATCAGTTTGAACAACGCTCAAAGGTATGACCTTACCCTTACAACAAGTGACCATGAAAGGGGTCATTTTTTTAAAAGACAAAACAAATAACAAACCCAAAGAGAACGGTGACAGTCTGCTAGCGCATTGATCTCACACGTAGCCTCAATGCGAAGTCCGGTCGTTTGATTGGTTGTTCCTGTCACACCAGTCACGGTGGTAGCGACATAACGATAAATATACCTTTGGTTGGGCACAAATCGTGTGGATGCTGGGAAAAACAAACAAATGTCAAGTCAGTACAGAACACGTGTTAATGCATTGCGCACATAGCATGATCGATATGAGCACGACCCCTCCACGTGAACACTTAGTTATCTCTTTCATCCCTTGTTCCTATACGTCATAGTGATTGCGCACGTTTTCTAACGCATTGTTGATTTTGGCCGAGATCCATCGAAAAAGACCACCTGGGTTTCTAAATTAATTAGCTCAGAAAGTCCCTGTGGTAATCCAGCACCTTTGATTTCTACATTTTTGCTGAAAAAACGTTTGTCTTACAGTATATGAAAACAAGGTTTAACTCATGGCTTTACTGGTGCTAAAGAAGTTTTTCTTCGATAAAATACAAGTAAACAAGCGCTAAATTCTCTACTTCCTAACTTAACCTTTAAATCTAAAAAAAACCTTTGTGTTTTTGTGGCTCTACAGAACCCCAAACGAAAACTTAAGAGAACATCTCCTTCAATTTAGTATACCAGAATAGTAACAGTTACCAATCGGCAGTTGGCACGAACTTTTGTTTATTGGTGTACATGTGCTCAGAGTGGGCAGGGGGTATGTTAGGGGGCGTGTTAGGGGGCGTGTTAAGAGGCGGATAATGTTTTTCCTTTTTAAGCCGAAAGGTTTTCAGGAGTTTAGCACGAAAGGCTATAATTTCTTTTTGGACTGAAGAGACCTGGTAAAAAACGTCTTTTCTGCGCGAGGAAAACAACAACAAATGAGCCATAAAGAAACAGTTATTGGTTAAATTCATCCTGATTTAAGAACAGAATGAACTTCAATGCGACACGAGGTTAGATGCTAAAACTTAAAACGAACAATTGTCCAGTTTTTATGTGCTTGTCCAGCCTCTTGGTCTGTTTCGTTTTGTTTGTTTGCATGGTTTTTGCGTGCATTTGCTAAGTTATGGCGTGAAACAAATGTCACCAGCACTTTGTCACGAGGCTTGGCAAGAGAACAATTTTCCCTGTTATATGGCAGATGCAATGACATGGATCATGTTATGCCAAAACGATCATCAAGTCCTTGACCTTTCGTACAATGTCAAACAAGTTTTCTAGAACGTGACCCGATACCTGTTTCGCTCGTTTGTCCTACCAGGGACAGCGGGAAAATTAACATGATTGATAGACGCGGACGGGTTTCTGACAGTAGAGCTTTATTACTTAATTATTTTTTTTTCAACAAGTGGAACAATTTTGAACCCAAGAGTAATCAGGATCCTACATTCGCAAATTGTATGGCAAGGTTGACAGAATCAAGGAAGGTAAAATGATAAAAATTAAAAAAATAAAAAGGAAAATAAAAGTTGTATTAGGGTCAAAGAACATCTATAAAACCCCCAAGTAAATGAGAAAAATACTTTTCTAACTGGTTAAAAATATAGAGGCGCATCTGTAAACGCTGGATTGTGAACCTGTATATATATATTTTTTGAATCATTATTAACTGGCACGGTACCACCAGCCGAAACACGCAAGCATTTTGGTCACGTAACACAAACCTCTCACGTGAAACTTTAACTTTTCCACGTGAGCAGTGAACGGAAGCGAATTTCCCCCTGTTGTTCTGACGTCAGAAAAAACAAACCCTCTTAATTACGCCGGAAATGTCTCTTATCAAGTAATCTAACATCAAGAATAAAGCTTATCATGCCGGCATGATATTTTTGGAAGAATGTGGAATTTTAGACGAGCTATCATGCGTACATCCGTGGAGAATACGAGGTGTACATGTGCTCGTATCATCTTCCACAAAAATGCAATAGAAGGGGTCAAATCAACCTGGGAAGCCGTCCAAAGTCTTTTTCGGGCTCAATTAACGTAAAGAGAGCAGAGATGAGCAAGTACTCGACACTTCCAAAATGGATTGAAGAACGGATGCAAACTTTGCCCCACGGTGTTGTGGAGTTTTCCCTGCAATATTTTATTAACGCAGCAACGATGTGTGCATTTTCGTTGAGTAAAAATATTCTACCAGATGCTATCTTTGTAGTCTATTTCGGTTCTGCTCCGAACAATAGCAATTGGTAGGATTTTCCAAGACAAAAGAAGAAAAATTCTTGTTTGTGAAGCGAACCGCAATTGTTTAGCTCTATGAGACGGGCTTCCTTAATTGGTGATCCTTTTCCTGTTGACCTTGATAACCGTTATACCATCAGCACGTAACACTGAGACCCCCGAAAAGCGAAAAAATTAATCTTCTCCAGAAATCATGTTCAGTTGCTGCTGGGGAGAAAACGACCTTTCACCCTTCTTTTATTATTTCTTTCAGGCTTTTTTCTCCTTTCTTTTGTCACTGTTAATTAAATCAAATTTGTGCAGAGGGAAATAGAGTAGCTCTTAGCAAAGAAATCTAATATTTCATCTTTTGCAGAGTACCTGGTTCGCAGATTTCTTTTTCTTTGCTTACTGGCACTGGAACTGCAATAAAACAGATGAAAAGCTAGTTAGGGTAAGCCCATCTAGCACAGGCAGCCCAAGCGCTGTAGGAAAAGCTAGCATGCTGAATATCTGTATTCATTGAGAAAATTAAAGCTAATTTTCCATAGTTTATTGCCTACGTGTTTGTTTACCGTAAAAAATCGCCCATTAGCTACTGAAGTCGATATTTCCTGCAGTATTGCTCGCGATTTGAGCCGTTATACTTAGAATTTCATGCCCACTCGCGTACCTTGAAAATATCATTGTCACGCAAAATATAATGTCTAGAAGCTGCGTATCGTTTTGCCATGGCCGCCCTTTGCCTTTCTGTCGGCTTTCCAGCCACCCTGATGAAATAAACCTTGATCTTCAGAGGAAATAATTTCGACGAATAAGCGCAAAATTAGGCTACAGGACACAAAGCAGCCGTAGATTGAAAAGATTGTACATGCTGCATTTTGCGTGATTAGGGATTTTTTAAATGATACACGAGTGCTTGCGAAGTAGAGAGGTTCACGTCGCGAGCCACACTGCAGAAAATATTGACTTAATTTAACAAGTGAGTGATTCGTGACAAATATACAAACACGCAGACTTCAAATTAGGAAAAGGTTGGGTTTACGCCTCTGCAGGTACGTATACGTATTTGGCAGTTTAAGTGAAGGAACCCAGAATAGACCTAAAATATGTTTGGGCTGCCTGTGTTTTAGGTATTTGCCAAGAATTTTCACTGAGGGTTTTTCCCCTAAAAAGGACAACGACATTTGAACTGGTCTAGCTTTGCTTTCGTTGAACCAGACAGAAATATTCCCGTGTTTTATGCCGTACTGGAGAACAAGTTGAGAAGACAAAAGGAAAGAGGAAAGATGTGACCTACGTCATCGAAAAGTGAACAGTACAGATGGCGTAGAAATTAATTTTCAATCTATCCGGTGCCGGTTTGAAAGAAATTTTTCTGCGAAATTGTTCCAAGTTCTCGGACTAGATGAAAAAATCTACCAGAACCAAACTATACTTGAATACAGAATTAGAGGCGAGATTTGCGCAAGAGCTTTCAGGGCAGAGAATAAACGAAAGAGGAAAGCAAGAAGCAACGATTCTCTCAGAAATAACCGAGAACGAGTTACGGAGAACCAACAAAACATTTCCACCAAACTCAAGATTTATATAAAAAAAAATAACATTTCCCTTACCTGCAAGGGCTCCACCAATAAGCAGAAAAGTTATCAGTACTCTCATCTTGCACCGAATTTTTGTGCCAGAGCTACTGGGATGAGTTACAAGCAGCTACTAAAAAAGATTGTCAAAAACCATCTTTTTATACTGACAGAACATCAACAATTCTGGTGGTGTAACAAGATATCTATGACAGTCTATCTTATCACAAGCTCTAACAAGTCTCCGGTGTTAAGCTAGGATTACAATATTCACGGGATCGCTGTCACAATTAGGTGCCCTTTAGCCTTAGTCTTAATATCAGAAAAATTTAAATATTTCAGAAAGATGTCATATGATTTCTGCCGGTTATTCCTTTTGGACGGTAATTTTGCGGGTTGCACACTGTTGTTTTTAACCTGTAGGTCATGCCCGCGTGGAAAGTATTTGCCTTTTTTTTCTCAGGTTTGTTATTTAATGCGTCGGGCGTTAATCGCTCTGCCGTTCTAATGTTGATAGGCTTGCGATATGAACCAGACGAGAACACCGAAGTACAAAGCCTAAAGGGCAACTAAACTTCGCTTCTGGAAGTGAAATGAAACTCAATAAAATCGAAGTCAATTCTAGCTTCCTTTTTCCAATATAGAATTGCCGACCTGAATGTAATAACCCTCTGAAGTGATTTAGAACTTTTGACCCAAAAAAGTTGTTATGATTTTTTTTCTGATTTTTGCTCACCATTGAACTGGTTATGGAAAACCATAACCATTGAGTGTTGCCTATTGCAACACTCAATGCAGACCATCAGAGCGTTTCCTTTCATTCGATTACTTTATAATTTTTTTTTATTATATATTTTTTTTACAATGCACTAATTTCTCACGTGATGAGAGGCTAGAAAACATGCTCAGTGACTCTACTTTGCACGAGCTCGAACTTTCCCTCCCCGTTTTCCAGATAGAATTTCGATCAGAGACTTTTGCTTATCAGCCATCGCATCTGAGTCATGGGACCAGCATTATAGCAGTTTGCACGTATTCCAAGTACCAGTACCTTTTTACTTTCGACTTATATTTTTTACTGGCTGTTTGCGAATCGAAGCGAAAAGAAGACAAGTAAAAGTGGAGATTAAAATAAGAAGAGACCCTGACCTTGGAGCCTAAATACAAACTTAAAGGCTCTCCTTAAGGTCCGGTAATACGGCCAACATTTTTCTTCAACTTGTCTTCTTGCAACATTGTTGCATTGCAAGTTGAAACCCGTTGTTGCGCGTATTTACCACGTTCGTGACCAACTTATCAGATAGAATTTCGATAGGTTGTCAGATAGGTTTTCCATAACCAGTTCAATGGTGAGCAAAAATCAGAAAAAAAATCATAACAACTTTTTTGGGTCAAAAGTTCTAAATCACTTCAGAGGGTTATTACATTCAGGTCGGCAATTCCATATTGGAAAAAGGAAGCTAGAATTGACTTCGATTTTATTGAGTTTCATTTCACTTCCAGAAGTGAAGTTTAGTTGCTCTTTAGGCTTTGTACTTCGGTGTTCTCGTCTGGTTCATATCGCAAGCCTATCAACATTAGAACGGCAGAGCGATTAACGCCCGACACATTAAATAACAAACCTGAGAAAAAAAGGCAAACACTTTCCACGCGGGCATGACCCACAGGTTAAAAATAACAGTGCGCAACCCGCAAAATTACCGTCCAAAAGAAATAATGGGTAGAAATCATATGACATCTTGCTGGAATATTTAAATTTTTCTGATATTAAGACTAAGGAAAATGTGCTTTTGAGTAGAAAAAAGTAAGGAGAAAAAAAAAAAAAACTAGAAATACATGTACTTTTTAATTACTCCTTTGTATTATTAGTGGAGTTTCAGGTGACAACTTACGTGAAAAGGCACCGAAGCGGAGGGTCCCTGGGGACATGCATCATTCAATATGAAGCTCTCAGTGAAGACTCAAAATCACTCCGCGTTAATAGACCGAAGACCCGTTGCGCTTTGATAAGCCACGAACTGGAAAGTTTTAAAAAGTCTCAAAGGAAGATGTTAGAGACATACCTGTAGCTGTAGAAACTTAAAGCGTGTGTTCATTTGGTCCCTCATAGCCTAGCTTGTACAGTTTGTAAAGTTGATCAATCGCTCCTGACTTTTTGCAATTGAAAGGTAGTCTTAAAGTCCTATGGATTCCTTAAACCACTTATGAGTGCCACAAGATGTACAACAAATAATAGTGATTAAAAAATTACATGTATTACGAAGGAGGACACTGACAAATTTTTGGAGAACCACTTCGAAGACCTGCCATGGGGCGTGCGAACGGCTTGCAAGAAAATCTGCCCTTGAATAATTTATCTGTGCTTTTAAAAAATAATAATAAAAGAAGAGGAAGAAGAAGCAGAGTAAATTCAAAACTCAGGGAAAGATTCGCTCTCGAAAGAAAACAAGCGTCGGCTATTATGAACACATTGTTATTTTCATAAGTCCAAATCATGTTTTTTTTTTTCCAAGTGCTTCTGCACTGATAGACACATTTTGGTTTACAGCTTTCTAATAAAAGCAATATAAGAAGCGTATAATCCACGAAAGAATGAGATGGGTCAAGCTTGCGCCAGAAATATGAGGAGAAATCTTTGCCGATTGGGAAAAGAAAGGCGGCTTTAAGTCTCGTAATTAGTGCAATCGGGGGAATCAATTGACTGATCCTCTTTAATGTCCTGCAAAGAGGCTGAAGTTATCTTGCAGGTCTCTAATTGCACTGGAAAAACATTCGAATATCACGTGCGAACTGCAAAGCTTGCTTTGTTCGTTGGCTTGCGGTTGTCGTGATTTTTTCCTCAGATGTGAGAAAGCAGAAAGCTAATTGGAGAGGTTCGATTTCTGTTCTATCCAAAATGGCTTTTCTTCAGACCCCTTGAGAACGAAATTTTTAGTCATCATGAGTAATAACTGACCCTGTTTGCTGTTAAGAAATGGCCATTCATTTAGTGATTTATCACTTCATATCTTTATTAATCTAATTAATGACAGGGATTTCCTCTACCATGCATGTACGCCGGCGAGAAAAATCGCATCGTCATCTTTGCAATCCCTTGAAAGGCCTCTATGAAACATTATCAGTTATGAAGGTCATTTCGGTTCAGCCGCTTTCAGGGTGACTGGCACCTTTCCACGTACAAATTTCTTCACTCCAAGTGAAAGTATCATAGAACTATCTGCGGAATCATGTGAATATTGCTAGCGCCTCGATAACATGTATATAATATGAACGTTTTAAGCTGTATCGTGAGAATTATGAGTTCTAAGGAAAACTTTTATAGCTAATGGCTTTTGAAATCCGTCAAAAATGTAAAAGTGCGCTCGCCGGATTTTTGAACGAAGCTGACAGAGGTAAAATGAATGCTGTTACTAATATTTGTCTTAGTTTCCCTATTTAGCTTGGCTTTGACCTTTTGTTGGCGGAAACCGTAAGATTTTCTTTTTCTGTAATTTATTTCCGCGGCCACAACCGGCTTAGGTTAGGAAACAGGAAGGTAGATGGTGTATTCTTACATGACCACAGCGGGAATCATCCAATACATCTTAACATAATAATGGAATACGATAATTCATGCGTGCTTGAATTTCTAATCCAGAAAATCAAGTTTGTTCAGGTTTTGCCGAGAAAGGTAATGAGTTTGTACACGCGGAAAATGCGTGCCCCATAAAACCGAGTGACCTTAACTGGGAAAATCGTGTATGTCGCATAACCACAACTACACGAACTCAACAGAGAACGAACCCGAGTTTTTCGCTAGGAAAGACAAAAAATTGCCAATACGTATCTTGAAACTATGGTGGCCTGGAAAAGGGACATCGACTTGTTCTTTTCTTCCGAAAACCCATCTCCTGGCCACCGTTCGAAGCACGGCAACTGATGAAACAACGATCTTCGACCACAAGGTGCAAATGACGTTGGCCGGAAGTGAGGTCTATAGGGAAGGCACATGCAAGTTTTTCTTCTCCTTTTGAATCGCGATGATAACAAGTATTTAGGTCTTAGGGAATTAAAAAATAAACTTGCTTTTTTTGTCGCATTGATTTTTATGTTTACACAAATAATCTTAGTGTTGCCAAATTGGTCAGTCAGAGGTTCATTTGCGCAGTCAGAAATATTCCTTGCTTGGAATACACTATCTACTTCTTCTTGTTATCCTACGCGGCCGTCGTTTATAATGTCATTCAGAACTTTCCGAAGGAGACTGACTTCCCTACGCTTCACACGGTCCAGATATCTACACAGGGCTGGTCACCAAGGCGAGGAAGGCCATAATTTGACCAGCTAAAATTAAGAAATTAAACTGTACGTATATAAAGTCAAACATGTGTGAAATGCTAACAAACTGGTTTGACCCTTACTAATCAGAAAATCTAAAACATTTCAGCGATTAACAATAGTAATAATTTTGAAGCGATAGGAATTTTAAAAGGTGCAATGCATCAAATATTTGTACGGTAATATCGCTGCAAAATGAAACGAAATACTCCTCACATAACATCATCTTGTTTCCTCTTTTATTTATTTATATATAGTAATAATTTCCTCCTTTCACATTTGTATTTTGCTCTGCACATTTCTGCATCGAGCACTCCAAGGATAAGTGAAATAACTTTATTTCTTGTTTATTCGTTTAAATATATATATATATGTACAATTCATATACATATACATATACGAGTTCTTCACTTCACAGACTAAATCCACGTTTCCAAATAGAGCTGTCTGGTTGTAAAATTTCAACTGAGAGATTGAAAATAGTCTCGAAAAGGCTTTGTAAATACGTGTTCCGTTGAACGTGATGTATTTCAACTGATCGTTTTAAAACCAAAGCGAGAGAGTGATATCAGAAGGAACCAATCATAACTCAAGTAAAATGTAAGCGCGAGAAAACGACTGTGACCAAGTTGCAGTTAGCTTAACTTTTGAATCTGATCGGTTGAGAATGCGGCACGACCTGTTTAGACCAATCACAGAACAAATTAAATCAAAACCAATTGAATCTCAGTTTTCTTCAGACACTTGATTAGGAATTGCTTAAATGACATACGCTAACAACAAGTGACCGAAGCCTTAAAGCGCTTTTTTCAAGGAGAAAGA